CATAAACCAGCACACTTAGTGGTTTGTGTTTAACCCACCATGTATCCTTGCATAAACCAGCACACTTAGTGGTTTGTGTTTAACCCACCATGTATCCTTGCATAAACCAGCACACTCACAGTGGTTTGTGTTTAACCCACCATGCCTCCTTCCATAAACCAGCACACTCAGTGGTTTGTGTTTAACCCACCATGTGTCCTTGCATAAACCAGCACACTCGGTGCTTTGTGTTTAACCCACCATGTGTCCTTGCATAAACCAGCACACTTAGTGGTTTGTGTTTAACCCACCATGTATCCTTGCATAAACCAGCACACTCACAGTGGTTTGTGTTTAACCCACCATGTGTCCTTGCATAAACCAGCACACTTAGTGGTTTGTGTTTAACCCACCATGTATCCTTGCATAAACCAGCACACAGTGGTTTGTGTTTAACCCACCATGTATCCTTGCATAAACCAACACACTCAGTGGTTTGTTATTTGTAGGTGAACCTAACATTGTTGCAGTTAATGGGAATGGAGGATGGTTATCACAATAGTACAACAAAGATGAATCATACAATTCAATTGCAACCTTTTGGATTTCTGTAAGTTTATTCTATATTTGCAAACATGCAAGTAGAAAGCCAATCATATGGGCTAAGCCAGTGAAGACTAAACTTGTTCTGTTTTTGACTTCCATGTGCGAAGCACACAATGGGAGTCTTTGCAGTTAGTTTGTCTGTATGTATGTATGTGTGTGTGTGTGTATGTGTGCGTGTGTGTGTGTGTGGGTGTATGTGTGTCCGTCTTTTCCACTGATATCTCAAGAACCATACTTGATTTTTGATGAAACTTTGTGCATTGACGCTCTGGGCCAATGCGCAGATTTGATTAGGTTTTGGTAAAAATTCATGCATATTAATTACCTAATTTGCATGATAATTAGCTGATTTTTAGCTGTTCCTTGACTGTTCCACTGATTTCTAAAGAACCACTAATTGGATTTTGATGAAACTTAGCTCATAGATGCTCCAAATTAATGCGCAGATTTGATTAGTTTTGGGTAAAAATCTGTGCAATATTAATTACCTAATTTGCATAATGATTAATCAATTTTCGGCTTTTACACTGATATCTCAAGTACTAATCATCACATTTCAATAAAACTTAGTACATAGATGTCATAGGACACTGCACAAACCTGATAGTTTTTTGGGTAATATCAGTACGTATTAATTACCTAATTTGCATAATTAATTAATTTTCAGCTTTTGATATTTCAAGTAGTAAACATCACATTTCAATGACACTTGGTACATAGTTACTTAACGACTGTGCAGACCACTGATTTGTTTTTGGGTAAATATTTGTGCATATTAATTACCTAATTTGCATGATTAATTAATTTTCAGCTTTTGGTATTTCAAGTAGTAATCATCACATTTCAATGAATCGTGGTACATAGATGTCATAGGACACTGCACAGACCTGATATTTTTCAGGGTAATATCAGTACATATTAATTACCTAATTTGCATAATTAAATAATTTTCAGCTTTTGATATTTCAAGTAGTAAACATCACATTTCAATGACACTTGGTGCATAGTTACTTAACGACTGTGCAGACCCCTGATTAGTTTCTGGGTAAATATTTGTGCATATTAATTACCTAATTTGCATAATTAATTAATTTTCAGCTTTTGGTATTTCAAGTAGTAATCATCACATTTCAATGAATCGTGGTACATAGATGTCATAGGACACTGCACAGACCTGATATTTTTCAGGGTAATATCAGTACATATTAATTACCTAATTTGCATAATAAAATAATTTTCAGCTTTTGATATTTCAAGTAGTAATCACATTTCAATAAAACTTGGTACATAGATGTAATAGGACACTGCACAGACCTGATAGTTTTCAGGGTAATATCAGTACATATTAATTACATAATTTGCATAATTAATTAATTTTCAGCTTTTGATATTCCAAGTAGTAAACATCTCATTTCAATGACACTTGGTACATAGTTACTTATGGACTGTGCAGATCTCTGATTAGTTTTTGGGTAAATATTTGTGCATATTAATTACCTTATTAGCATAATTAGTTAATTTTCAGCTTTTTGCCTGATATCTCAAGTACTAATCATCATATTTCAATGAGACTTGCTACACAGATCTTCTAGGACTATGCAGAGACCTGGTTAGTTTTAGGGTAAATAATTGTGGATATTAATTATCTAATTTGCATAATTAGTTAATTTGTTCCATGAATGTTCCACTGATATATAAAGAACCACGAATTGGATTTTAATGACACTTTTAAAGAGTACTCATCATCACATTTCAATGAATCTAGAACTATGCAGAGACCCAATTAGTTTTTGGTAAATATTTATGCTTATTAATCACCTAATTAACATAATTAATTAACACTGTTTTCTCACTTACTGATCATCACATTTGAATTAAATTTGGTAATTTGATAATTCATAATTTGTTTGTTCTGTTCTGTTCTGTTCTGTTCTGTTCTGTTCTGTTCATATTATTTACCTGATTTACATAATTAGTTTTCAGCTTTTCCATCAATATCTCATGTACAAGTAATTTTGAATTAATTTTTAATGTGTCTTCAATATTCTCAGCACACGGGAGTTCTTTCTAAGCTTTCTTTGATTTTAACTGTTCTCAGTAAAGTCACCAGAAAGATACATATTTTTAATTCTTTGGTTGTAAAACAATAACAATGCAGATTGCAAAATAAGAATTAGTACAGATTCATTGTCAGTCTTTTTTTGAAGACATTTTAATATACACATTTATCCAAGTGTTAGTAAAATGTTTTCCAAGATCTCTCATGCTGTCAGGTGGAAATTAAATTATAAGTGTTTTGTACATGCATTCTTGCATGGTAACAGTACATTTTTAGCCCCCACCGGATCCGAGGGGGCTTATAAATTGAGTTGTGTCCGTACATACGTGTGTGAATATATCATATGCTTTTTCTCACACATGTGTGATCGAATTCAGTTCAGAGTTGGTACAGAGAAAAGAATTGACGGTGTTACAGGTGCACATCAAGTTAGTTTTCACTATTTCACTGTGTTTTTCTTTGATTTTCAACATTTTACTAGCATTTTACTAGGTTACTGGTAGCACACCATCTAAGATTATATGGTGCACACAAATATTCGCTTTGACCCAACTAGTTGTGCCAATTCATTGGCATGTCGTTGATGCAACTGAAAAATTATACATTAATATTATATAGTGATCTTGAAAAATAAATGAAATTGACATTTTATGAGCAAAATAGAAACACATGTTTGTAAATACATAGAAAATCAGGTGTTTTGCCTAAAGTAACCCATACAGTCACATACAATTCTTGAAAACCAACCTTTCCAGCTGATTCAACTTGATTTTGTGGGATTCCATTTTGAATCCACTAGTCAACATTCATCTGATGTAGAGGGCATACTGGTTGCTAGTCAACATGTATCTCATGTTATACATGTACATCACATTCTTAGAAACTATTATCGGTAACTAAAAGTGATGGCTGTAGTTATTCATGATTCTCAGTGAAAATCACAAAATTTGGATTGTAAGTGATTTTCATTAATTTGTTTTTTACAAATGCAAATTTCCATCAATGGTTTACAGTATTTTTAGCTCATTTTATTCAGATTACTGCAGATAGATGGTGATCTTGAAGACCTCCAATCTGCTCTTGGCAACAAGAAACAGAAGCGTCCTCTTGGGGGTGGATCATGTTCAGCTTTGATTAAAATGTTGCCAGGCAACTCTGACTTGTATGTGTCCCAAGTGACATGGAGTGCATATCAGACAATGCTAAGAATTCTCAAGAAATATGATTTCCCATTCAAAGAAGCTCAGATAAGTGAGTCTACACTGTTTCACTTGGCCCAATAATGAATAATGAGTCCCTTTTTTACCCAAAAAATCCAACATGCATAAATGCAGGGGCAAAATTATAGTGTATTTATACGCTTTAGTGATACAAATCTGTACTGAATTTCTTGGAAATTAGTCAGTGTTTTATACATATGTAAGATATGATGCAGCACGAACTTTTAGTATTTTTTTTATTAAATAATAACTATAAAGGGCATTTTTGACCATAAATGCCACCTAATTAATACCTCTTTAATATACTCCTTTCATGTGGTGACTTTGTTATTAACTTGTTTCATATGTGGATTCTCAGAGGTCAAATCTGCAATATTTATGCTATGTTTGTTTTCTAGAATCATCAGTAATTCCTGGTAGAATGATGTCATTTTCATCAGCACCTGGCAAGCTTTACTCTGGTGATGACTTCTATATTATAGGAAATGGTCTCGTAAGTTTTTTTAAAAACTTCAATATTTTTTTTAAAATCATGCAGTTATGGTTGAATTATTCACTCGTTATAAAAACCTGTATGAAATATGCTAGGTTATTTCTGGGTACACTGATTTGATGTGAACAATGAAGTGACCATAACAAAATGTGTTTATTTTTGGCAACATGAGGTGGGCCACTTAGATGCCTGTATAAAACATGCTATTCTGGTGTAGCAAGAGCCTCTTTAGTGGTGTGGAAGCATTCATTCAGAGGTCTTCATAGAAGTAAAGGGTTAGGTTTACAAAGGTCTTCATAGAAGTAAAGGGTTAGGTTTACAAAGGTCTTCATAGAAGTAAAGGGTTAGGTTTACAAAGGTCTTCATAGAAGTAAAGGGTTAGGTTTACAAAGGTCTTCATAGAAGTAAAGGGTTGGGTTTACAAAGGTCTTCATAAAAGTAAAGCGTTAGATTTACAAAGGTCTTCATAGAAGTAAAGGGTTAGGTTTACAAAGGTCTTCATAGAAGTAAAGAGTTAGGTTTACAAAGGTCTTCATAGAAGTAAAGGGTTAGGTTTACAAAGGTCTTCATAAAAGTAAAGCGTTAGGTTTACAAAGGTCTTCATAGAAGTAAAGGGTTAGGTTTACAAAGGTCTTCATAGAAGTAAAGTGTTAGATTTACAAAGATCTTCATAGAAGTAAATAGTTAGGTTTACAAAGGTCTTCATAGAAGTAAAGGGTTAGGTTTACAAAGGTCTTCATATAAGTAAAGGGTTAGGTTTACAAAGGTCTTCATAAAAGTAAAGGGTTAGGTTTACAAAGGTCTTCATAAAAGTAAAGCGTTAGGTTTACAAAGGTCTTCATATAAGTAAAGGGTTAGGTTTACAAAGGTCTTCATAAAAGTAAAGCGTTAGGTTTACAAAGGTCTTCATAGAAGTAAAGGGTTAGGTTTACAAAGGTCTTCATATAAGTAAAGGGTTAGGTTTACAAAGGTCTTCATAGAAGTAAAGGGTTGGGTTTACAAAGGTCTTCATATAAGTAAAGAGTTAGGTTTACAAAGGTCTTCATAGAAGTAAAGAGTTAGGTTTACAAAGGTCTTCATAGAAGTAAAGGGTTAGGTTTACAAAGGTCTTCATAGAAGTAAAGGGTTAGGTTTACAAAGGTCTTCATAGAAGTAAAGGGTTAGGTTTACAAAGGTCTTCATAAAAGTAAAGCGTTAGGTTTACAAAGGTCTTCATAAAAGTAAAGGGTTAGGTTTACAAAGGTCTTCATAAAAGTAAAGGGTTAGGTTTACAAAGGTCTTCATAGAATTAAAGGATTAGGTTTACAAAGGTCTTCATAGAATTAAAGGATTAGGTTTACAAAGGTCTTCATAGAAGTAAAAGGTTAGTTTTACAAAGGTCTTCATAGAAGTAAAGAGTTAGGTTTACAAAGGTCTTCATAGAAGTAAAGGGTTAGGTTTACAAAGGTCTTCATAGAAGTAAAGGGTTAGGTTTACAAAGGTCTTCATAGAATTAAAGAGTAGGGTTTACAAAGGTCTTCATAGAAGTAAAGAGTAGGGTTTACAAAGGTCTTCATAGAAGTAAAGGGTTAGGTTTACAAAGGTCTTCATAAAAATAAAGGGTTAGGTTTACAAAGCTTTTCAAGAAAGCGTTTCTACGCTGTAAAAATGTTTTCTCACAGTGGTCTTTTTTTATGAACATGTCTATGGAAAAAAATAATTGGGTTGGTCTTGGTTTCTCTTGGTGGTCAAACTCAGATTTTTGATTCGATAGCTGCATGCTTAACAGAGGGTTCAGTTTAGAAAGGTTTGACTCAATATGCGCATATGTTTAGCAATGTAATGATTTGTAGTTTATAGCTCTTTGGTTATTTGAGAGTTTAGAGACAAAATATGTAAAAGATATATGCAGGATATTGGTTCCATAATTGAATTTGTGTCCATATTCTTATTTAGGTGAGTCTGGAGACCACTATTGGAAATAGTAATGATGCACTATGGAAATACATAAAGGCCAAAGGTCAAGTGTTGGAATGGATGAGAAACATTGTATCAAATAGACTAGCACATAATGCTACTATGTGGGCAGACATATTTAAACAGTACAACAGTGGAACGTTAGTAACTTATCATTACCAGCAATAACACTGCAGTAATTTGTCATTACCAGCATTGACACTGCAGTAGTTTATCATTACCAGCAATAACACTGCAGTAACCTGTCATTACCAGCAATTACACTGCAGTAATTTGTCATCACCAGCAAAAACACTGCAGTAATTTGTCATTACCAGCATTGACACTGCAGTAGTTTATCATTACCAGCAATAACACTGCAGTAACCTGTCATTACCAGCAATAACACTGCAGTAACTTGTCATTACCAGCAATAACACTGCAGTAATTTGTCATTACCAGCAAAAACACTGCAGTAACCTGTCATTACCAACAATAACGCTGCAGTATTTTATCATTACCAGCAATGACACTGCAGTAACTTGTCATTACCAGCAATAACACTGCCGTAACTTGTCATTACCAGCAATAACACTGCAGTAATTTGTCATTACCAGCATTGACACTGCAGTATTTTATCATTACCAGCAATGACACTGCAGTAACTTGTCATTACCAGCAATAACACTGCA